GGGAAGAGTGTGGGTGGGGCCAGGCTGCCAGTTTGGAAAGAAACCCGCCGCCCCTGGGCTCATATGAATGGGGCTGTCGCCGCCCAACGGCGTTAACTTGGCCCCTGCTCTACCCAACAGAGCACCCTGGTGGCGTAGCCAGGAGAAACTACGAGTCCCAGCATGCCACGCTCTATCTGGAGCCGCAAAGGGAGCAATGCATGCAGGGACCTGTAGTCTGCCTGGTTCAGAGGTGAGGGTGGTTGCAGAGTATGGGGTGGCACTTGGGCACGTGCCCGTCTCCCTCCCTGGCACCACCTGCCTCCGCCAGCGTCTCTCACTCTCTCGCCGTCTCTCTCCGGGTCTGGCCAACAGGTGGCAGCGTCAGGCTGGTGAACGGCAATAGCAGCTGCCAGGGCCGGGTGGAGGTTCGGTACCAGGGCACCTGGGGCACGGTGTGTGACGACGACTGGGATTTCCCCAACGCCCAGGTGGTCTGCCGGCAGATGGGCTGTGGGGCGGCGGTGGCGGCCACCATCCTGGGCTATTTCGGTTACGGCACTGGGCCCGTCCTGCTGGACAATGTGGATTGTGCCGGCCGGGAGGCCGACCTGGCGAACTGCTTTCACCTGGGCTGGGGTCAGCACAACTGCGGGCACCACGAGGATGCCGGCGTCATCTGCAGAGGTGGGATACGTGTGGATGCAGCACCTCCTGCCCACGCGCCCGCCCCTGCGCCCCCCTCCAATGCTAGCCCGACCGGGGGCTGCCCTAGGGTGGGAGGGTGAACCTGTGCCAGCCTCTGCAGGCCTCAGGGAGGATTAACGGGCCCCCCAGGAGTGCCATGGGAGCTCCTGCAGTTTCAGCCACTTGAGCGGAAGAGGGTCCATGCAGGGCATTTGGATCACGTCCTGTTTAATTTGGGGCTCGGGTTTCGTGTGGGCTGGAACCGGAGTTGGCTGGGCTTTATGTGAGGTACCCGCCCCACCTGGCAGGAATCCCAGGTGACCCACGTTCTTGGGGAATTTCAGATACGCCCAATCAGGCCCCACCTGCTTCTGGATTCGCCCAGAACAGAAATCTTGGGACAGGGTCAGATCCGATCCAAGCTCCCAGAACTGCCGAGGGATCAGGCTCCGGGGGGAGGCTGGATTTGGCCCAGTCCCTGGGCTTGCAGCTGGACTCCATTCCAGAGAGGCACTGCCTAGGGAGGGGTAACACCCTCAGCCTGTGTGCATTTCAGTGCCCGCTTTCGTGGGAGGTTTGCCCTTCCGCTGTCTCCTAAATGCACCACTCCTGAGCCACCTGCAGCCCAGTTCCTCTCCCTGCCTGTCTGTCTGGGGCTACCCGATCCCTGGCCCCCACCACTCACACCCCACAGCTGCGCTGGAGACCAGAGAGGGCTAATCGTGGTTCTTTTCATCCCTCCTTTGCTGGAGCAGGTGCAGGTGAGTCTGGAGACCATGCTGGAGAAGATGCTTTTGCAACCACAACCTCAGCCACAACTCGGCCCAAGGATGGTAGGTACCCCAAGGGGCCAGCAGCACCCCCCAACCATCGTCACCCAGCCATGGGTGTCCTCCCATGGGAAACCCCCTGGGGCCAGTGTCGGACAAACCCAGAGACTAAAGCAGGTGAGGATGGACTAGAAGAGCTCTCGAGGGCCCTTCCAGTCCTAGCGGCGAGGAGTCCTGTGGCACCTTAGGGTATGTCTACACTACCACCCTAGTTCAAACTAGGGGGGTAGTGTAGACATACCCTTATAGACTAACTGCAGTGTTGGAGCATAAGCTTTCGTGGGCAAAGACCCACTTCGTCAGATGCATGTAGTGGAAATTTCCAGAGGCAGGAATAAATATGCAGGCCAGAATCAGGCTGGAGATGAGGAGGGGGATCCAATCAAGGAGGATGAGGCCCACTTCTAGCAGCTGATCTGGAGGTGTGAATGAAGTGGGTCTTTGCCCACGAAAGCTTATGCTCCAACACTGCAGTTAGTCTATAAGGGTATGTCTACACTACCACCCTAGTTCAAACTAGGGGGGTAGTGTAGACATACCCTTATAGACTAACTGCAGTGTTGGAGCATAAGCTTTCGTGGGCAAAGACCCACTTCGTCAGATGCATGTAGTGGAAATTTCCAGAGGCAGGAATAAATATGCAGGCCAGAATCAGGCTGGAGATGAGGAGGGGGATCCAATCAAGGAGGATGAGGCCCACTTCTAGCAGCTGATCTGGAGGTGTGAATGAAGTGGGTCTTTGCCCACGAAAGCTTATGCTCCAACACTGCAGTTAGTCTATAAGGGTATGTCTACACTACCACCCTAGTTCAAACTAGGGGGGTAGTGTAGACATACCCTAAGGTGCCACAGGACTCCTCGCCGCTTTTGCGGATTCAGACTAACACGGCTACCCCTCTGATACTGGACTTCCAATCCTAGGAGTCTGATCCACCGAGGTGTTGGCTGACCTGGCGATCAGAGGTGATACTGCAACACAGGGTAGCAGGCATCGTAGGGCTGGCTCTTTCCCATGCGTCTGCCGTCGCTGGGTCCCAAAGCACCTTGCAAACTCCCCACAAGCTCAGGATATTGGGGTGGGACAGATGAGTGGAGGAGGTTAAGCTGAGCGATATGGCCAGAATCACCCAGCCAGGCTGAGCTGGCAACAAGACCCAGGCCTCCTAGCTTCCCCGGCGAATGCTCTATCCACTGGGCCATACTGCTCCGGGATCCTGAGGCTGCTCCCTGGTTCTGGACCACTGCCCTCTCGTCTCCACACCACAGCTCCTACGGAGGCCTTAGAGATGCTTCCACCGCCGGCCCCTGGCTCCCAGGGCCAAGTGCGGCCTGGCATAGGCCACAGGAGGGGGAGTCTGGATGTAGGGGGGCCCCTGGGTTGGCTCCTGCATTGGCTCCCTCCCCAGGGCCCCCTCACCCTGCGCTGTTGCGCCCCTTGCAGGCTTCCTGCGCCTGGTGAATGGTAGCCACCGCTGCGAGGGCCGCGTGGAGCTGTTCTACCTGTCCCAGTGGGGGACGGTGTGTGATGATGCCTGGGACCTGCGGGACGTCAAGGTGGTGTGCCGGCAGCTGGGCTGCGGGGGCGCCCGGGCTGCCTGGGGGGAGGCGCGCTACGGCCAAGGCACCGGCTACATCTTCCTCGACAACCTCAAGTGCAAAGGGGACGAGCCCTCCCTGCTGCGCTGCTCCCACATCCGCTGGAACGTGCACAACTGTGACCACTCGGAAGACGCCGGCGCCCTCTGCGGGCTGCTATGACCGGCTGTGCCCTCGGCCGCCCAGCGGAGCGCGGGTGAGTCCTTGGGGGGATAGGGTCCCTCTTGCGTCCCGCTGTGCCAGCTCTCCGCCCAGGGCAGTGACGTGTCCCCGGCAGGATGGAAGGAGGCTTGCCAGTCCTGGGGCTGAGGGCAGCCACGGAGCTCGGAGCTGCCTTGGACCCCTGTGCGCTTTCCCTTCCCTTCCCCCCAGCCTGTGTCCCCCTGCCTGGCACGCCCCCCACGATCCCAGGTCCACTGGGTCCCCGGGCTGCCGGCTGAGCCCCTCGCTGGGGGCTTCCAAGGAGGGGAGGGGAGCCCTGAACAATGTGGGGAGGGAAGGGACAGAGTGTGGGAGGGAGGGACACAGGCTGTGGGGGGTGGTGAACACTAAGAGGGCACAGACTGAAGGAGACAGGCTGTGGGGTAGGGTTACCAGGTGTCCGGTATTCTACCAGACAATCGGGTATTTGCGCTCTCTGTCCACAGATTTATTTGGGCACAAGTTTGCGTGGGTAAAGACCCACTTTGTCAGATGGTGCTGCCCACGAAAGCGGATACCCAAGTCAATCTGTTAGTCTTCCAGGAGCACGGGACCCCTTGTTGTTTTTGCAGTAGCAGACTGACACAGCGACCCCGCTGCTCAGGGGAGTAAGTCAATTTGCTGTTGATGGTGTTAACCAAGGGCACCCATGGAACTGTCACAGCTCAAGAAACCTCCCATTCACTTACTTCAACCCCTCTGGCACCAGGCAAAGGCTCAGTCCATCCAGGGTGTAGCTACAGTATCTGTGCACTGGGCCTGGCTGCAGTGAGGTTAACCCCTTGGTCATATGAGGCCTACATGGACTCTCAAAAGACCCATTCTGTGTATTTTGGGCTCATTGTGCTTCTGGATCCTTGGCTCTTTATTTGTGGCTGCTGCTGGGAGACCAAAGCACGAGATGTGCACAGGCCCACGAGGCGGACAGCCACCACAGGCCGATGTGCTTTCTGCAGGCCTGCAATGGGAGCAGGCAGGTACATTTGCCTCTGTCTAGACCAGGGTAGGGTCCGATGTGGCCCCTGGCTTGCTTGGATCCAGCCCCCGAGGCTCAGGGGCCCCACCCCAGCACTGGGAGCATGCCCTGGTGCTCCAACCTCCCTTCCCCGGCTGCTTCTCACTTGTGGGCAGCCCCGACTGACTTTTCTGTGGGTCAGTGGCCCCTGACCCCCAAAAGGCCCCCACCCCTGTTCTAAAGAGCCCTTCCCTTCCCAGGCCTTGGCCCTGCTCAGCTGAGGTGAATCTCCCCAGCCTGAATTGGGAAAGCTCCCCCTGGAGGTGTTCACAGACCAGCAGCAGTAACTCAGGCCGCCTGGCAGTGGTGCCCCTGGCCTGTCGTGAAAGCAGGGTAACGAGGAGCCAGGGGTGGGCCATGTGGCTCAGAGGGGCCAGGCCCCAGGGCCTGCCCCCTGTTGTCCTTTGGCAGAGCAGCAGGAGGACAAGCCCTGGCCGGCAGCTGAGGTTGGCTGCTTGTTCCTCTTTCAGACGGACGCTGGCCCAAGCCGCAGGAGTCCCAGGTGCTGGCGGCACGCAGCACGGTGCAGGCAGGCTTCTGGTGTGTCCTGGGCGCTGACGTCGGGGGAGCCGAACGCCCGCATGACCTGCACATTGCTGCCTATAGCACGGCTGTAGCGGCCACAGACGGCTCTTCTTGCGGCCCCTCGCTGGCCCCCGGCAATTTCCCCGGGGCGCTGGCCAACGTCTAACTGAACATGTGCCAGAGCCTCCCGCGTCGCCCGTTCCCTCCGGTGCACCGAGCGCATGCCCACGGGCATCCCCGCAAACCCTCCGGCGGGGCGATTTTTCTCCCCCAAAGCTCTCCAAATGGAAGCAGCGCCAGAAGGCCCATCACTGCCCCGCGGTCTCCTAAGGGAACTGCAGACGCACGTACACGCCCGAGAAGGCGGAGAACCGGGGAGCCGGCCCTGCATTGCTAGTCTCTGGAGAGTCACCGGCTCTGGCAGCTGGAACGGGCTTTTCTGCGGTTGCCGGGAGCTGCTGTGGCTGGGTCCAGCTGGCCAGCCCACATCCGGCCCAGGTGACCATGGGGAACATTTTCAGAGGTGCCTGTACCACATTTTCAGACAAGACTTGGAGCCAGAGCCCAAGAGGTATTGAGGTGCCCAACTCCCATTGGTTTCAATGAAGTTAGGAGCCTTAATACCTTTTGAAGATCTGGGCCCTAGATATTTTAGAGCCTAGGGTAGTTAGGCACTTAAAGATGGAAAGTAGTCAGGCAGGCTCTTTTGAAAAGCCAATAGAGCTAAGTTCCTAGGTCATTTTTTAAAATGGGCTGTTGCCATCCGAGGGTGGTTGGTGGGTGAGTGTGAGACGTGCTTGGCAGCAGATCTCCGTGCAGGTCTCCGTGGCCATGTGTCCCCATCACGATAACGCACCTCCTTGCCGTGGCCCCGTGACTATTATAGCACAAGCAGGGCCCGGACCACTGTTGACCAATGAGGTTGACTTTTCTAAGGAAGGCAGAGCTGATCCATGCTGGAGTGACCCCCGGGTGATTCATTTGTAGGCATGTTGGTGCATTAGAAATCTAGGCCCCTGTTCCAGCCAGCAGCTTTGCCCCTGTAGCTGCACAGAGCCCCCTGGGAGTCAAGGGATGTTGTGTGCCTAGCACCGACCTGCCTGCGGGGCTCGCCCCTGGGGAGTAGAGCATCAAAACGTGTGCGTTTCTTGGGCCCATCGGAGAGCTCCGCTTCTCAGCCAAGACACTCGTGGTCGCCCCGCTCGGCCGGGTATGTTTCACAAGGAGGCTGTTCCCATTCTCGGACCCTGGCGGGGAATTCTGAGACTCCGCTGGGGGTTTGTCGTTGATGCTTTGTCTTTTCCCTGCGGGGAGACTGGGGAAACGCTCGTTTTGGGTGGCGGGAAGGGCAGAGGCCGCCGCAGGACTCTGAATTCTCTGTAGAATTCCTTTGTTAAGAACGGAGTGGCATCGCCCGGTTTTTCCACGTAGACATTGTTTGGTGTGAATAAATAAAAGCCTTTTGAAAGTGAGCTGAACAACCCAGCGTGCTCATTGCAGTGAATCCCAGCTTGGTCCCTCAGTAGCAACTGGATTCTGAACTGTCACCGTGCGAACGGGCCGCCCCAGTGGGTGCAGGTTCAAAGTTGCATCCGTGGTTTGAATGCAGCTGCTGGGGCTTTACAGGGGTGTCGCCCATCAGAAGGGCGGGCCGAGGGTCTGTGGGCGCTAGCTGCCACACCACGCCGTCTGGGTGTGTTCGGAGTTCCGGAGTGAGCTGCTCAGCTGGTGTATGTGCGGGCAACTCTGCTGCGAGTGACCGTGAGCTGCGCTGGGGTCGTTTGAAATGGGGACGTGGCTGGACCTCTTGCTGTTCCACAGCTGGATTCATGGGGCTGACCACACAGAAGGGAGCTTGTTCTTCTGTGAGCTGCAGAGCAGCAGCCTGGGGCCCCGAGCAGCCCGTGGAAAATGTTTTGGCATTAGGGTGCCAAAGGGGGCAGGCTGCGTAACCCCACTCTCTATGGGGTGAAGCATCTGTGCAGCCCAGGGGCTCTGGTGCACTAGCCAGAGCATGAAACCAGAACCCAGGATAAAGCCAGCAGGGTTTCTCTCTGCCTCTCCATCTTTCGGCCAGCAGCAACCAATCCCAGGCATTCTCCATCATAGCCAAGAAGGCGGGTAAGGGTGAGATGTTCCCTGCTGTTGATCTGTTCCTGCCTTGCGGGGGATGCTGGCACTGGCAGGAGGATCCCAGCTCTTAGAGGCTGGCTAGTGCCCCTGCCGAAGGCCAGAGAGGTTGCCGAGGGCCTGGCTGGTGTTGCTCCTGATTTGCTGCTCCAGGGCCAGTTGTGAGGCTGACGGTCGCCATGGCGGTAGCCCGGGTCGTCTGAGGCGCTCACAGTGCTTTTCACGCCAGGGAGGGATTTGTTAGCCCCATTTCTCAGGTGGAGAAACTGAGGCACAGAAGAGATTTTTTTTTCCCACCCCTGATCACACTGCAAGTGGGGGCAGCATTAGATGTAGGCCCCAAAAATCCAATCTGCTGGCTCGCCGCTACTCTCCCTTCCTCCCATTTACCCTGGGGTGCCTGGTTTGGGTAAAACACTTGGGTTCCAGATCCCTTCCTTTGCAGGCTACTGGTAACCTGCTCTGGGACTGCTGCTCTGGGGCTGTCCTGTGCCCACCAGCCCTCCCTCGAAGGATCTGAAGAGGTGGCAGTGATGCACTGCTGCAGCGAGCGTGCAAAGAGCAATGCATCCTGCCAGCAGGGCAGCGAGGTGGGCATGGTCCTGAATGGCTCAGCCCCAGTGCGAGGCGGCTCCCACTCATCTTCCCTCCTCTGCCCTGGCTTCCCTTTGCCTGTGGCCTGGAGCGTGGGTTGCTTAGCTTAGCACAGGGCATTCCTAGCAGCAGGAGGCAAGGCCGGCCAAGACCACTGGAACATCCTCCTACAGAACCTGGGCTGGAGCAGTTGAGTTTCCTTGTACTCCAGAGCCAGAGACGGCTTCCTAGCAAGACAATATGGGGCCCTGCCATGGCCGTGTTAGAGGAGAACTCAGACCAGAATCCTGCCACCAAGCATCCCTGGCCTTTGGATCTGGCTGGTCACCGGCGGCCTCTACACTGCCTAGAGAACATGAGAACATAAGAACATAGGAAGAGCATAAGAGCGGCCAGACTGGGTCAGACCAAAGGTCCATCTAGCCCAGTGTCCTGTCTGCCCACAGTGGCCAATGCCAGATGCCCCAGAGGGAGTGAACAGAACAGGAAATCATCATGTGATCCTGCCCCAGTCACCCATTTCCAGACAGAGGCTAGGGACACCATTCTTACCCAGCAGGGCTAATAGCCATTGATCGACCTCACCTCCATGAATCTATCTATCTCTTTTCTTAACCCTGTTAAAGTCCTAGCCTTCACCACATCCTCTGGTAAGGAGTTCCATAGGTAGACTGCACTGAGTGAAGAAAACCTTCCTTTTGTTTGTTTTAAATCTGCTGCCTATTCATTTCATTTGGTTTTAAACCTGCTGCCAATTAATTTCTTATGAGTACAAGTAAATAACTTTTCCTCTGTCACTGTTTCCACACCAGTCTTGATTTTATAGACCTCTATCCTATCCCCTCTTAGTCTCCTCTTTTCTAAGATGAAAAGTCCCAGTCTTTTTAATCTCGCTTCTTATGGGACCCGTTCCAAACCCCTAATCATCTCTGTTGCCCTTTTCTGAACCTTTTCCAATGCCAAGAGATCTTTTTTGAGATGGGACGACCACATCTGTACGGGTATTCGAGATGTGGGCGCACCAGGGTTTTATAGAGAGGCAATGAGATATTCTCTGTCTTATTCTCTATCCCTAGAGAATAGAGGGGGCAGGGGAAGGTGCCATATCTAGTCCTGGCTCCAGGCAAGGGTGGGGGAGGACCTGGCTCCGGAGCAAGGCATTGTGGGGAGTGGCAGGGGGGTTTGGAGGGGGATAAAAGTGTCCGCCACGCTGCAGCACCAAGGTAGCGCCTGCTGGCTTATTTCCCACGAGAGCCGTGATGGGAGAAGCACAGCTGAGTCTCCCACACTCGTGGCCTGTGCAGGATGTTGCCCCATTGTGTGGGCCACAGCTGCATCTACCCCAAGGCCCAGTGAACACTCACGGGCCTGAGGGGCTCTTTGCAGTCGCCCGCCTGCGCTTTCCCCCTTTCCTGTCCCCAGCTTTGGCCTGGCGCTGCTGCCGTTCCGTCCCGATCGATGGCATCGACCGGTTCCCTTCAGCCCCTTTTAAGAGGCGCGGGTGGTGCAGGCAGCAGCGGATAAATATTTCACCAGGTGCTCTTGGGTTTGGATTGATGGCCTCCGAGGAGTGAGGGATGAGTCTGTGCAGGGGGAGGGGAGATTAAAGGGGAAGGCGACTATTAAGCTGGGAGGAAGGAACACGAGGCCACAGAGGAAAGGGAGGGGGGCTTGTGTTTGATTTCACCACATCTGGAATAAGATGTGGGGCTGGATTAGACGCCTGTCCCAAATCTGAGCCCTAGATAACCCGGTGCCCAGGCAGCCCGGCAGCATCAGCCTCCTCTCAGAGCTGGAAACGGGGGCATGGAAATTGCAGGTCCCTTGTGCTGGTTCACACCGTGCCCCTGAGGGAGCGGGGACAAGCCCACGGAAGGGTCAGGGGAGCACCCAGCCCCGGGCTGCATTGCAAGCGCTGCTTAAAGGGGACAGAGCCTTTTCCAGAGAGAGGGGAGCAAAATCAAGGTGGTTTCTGATCTCAGTCAAGGGGGGGCGGGTAAGTCTGGACTGTGCCCAGCCTGGGCCTTGCCCAGCCCTCTTTTCTGGGGTCGGACAAGCCTGAAGGGTGACATGCAGCTCCTGACGCAAATCTTCTGTCAGCAGGGGCAGGCCGGGGTCGGTTTGGCTCAAGCCCAGCGCTAGCTTGACGGGGTCCCAGATTTGCGGTGGCTGAGGGGGGCGTTTGGGACACGCGTCTGGGTGGGGGCTGGTTGAGCTGCAGCTGTCGGGGTAGCAAGGTGCAGAGCTCTGTTCCGATGGAGGGTCTGGCTAGTGGAAGGTGACTGGCCTTAAGAGCCTGATCCAAAGCCCACTGCAATCCGTGGGAGTCTTTCTAGTGACTTCAAACAGGCGA